TTTTGAGGTAGTCCAAAACGAGTTTTACAACAAGTCGGCGCTTTGCGACAATATGAGTCGGCAAGTTCCGAACAGAAAACTGATCTGTGGAGACTCGTCATCAGAGATTTTTTTTTTTTTTTTTGAGAACAGGCGAAAACTAATGCGCACGCGGATGTCATCCATAAAATTAAATCGGTGTAGCCTTAACACAATTAAAAAAACATGTAGTTTCTTCAAAAAATGGTTTGGTAATATGTCATAATTGTGAGAATAAAGAATGAATTTATTGATGTAATTGTACAGAAATGACAACAGCTGGCACCTGAGTCCTCTGAAAATTGCTAACCGACAAAAAAGAATACATCAAACGAGGAATGTTGTTACGCAATGTGTATCTCTGCTACAAATGGTTGAAGTCCAAATTGACTCCAATTCCTTTTGTTTTTTAACTCACGAAAATGACAAACCACTACTGTTCAGTAGTCTATGAAAAATGCAAGAGTTATGTTATGCACACAGTGTTTTATTTTCACCAGACGAACGATGCTGATTCGAGACAAATGAAGTCTATAAACATAAGCCAAGACCATTTACTGAAAGCGGCAAGCTCCATGAGACAGTCAGTGTCTCCTAGTGAAAGAAGGAGATATCAACTTATGTGAGTAACCTTTGACCTACCAGTAGGTCAAAGACCTATTTTATCAAGTTTAACAAAAAAATATCAGTATAGAACAAAATAAATGGGAATATATTTATGTATATTGAGTTGTCGTTACAGACAGGCAAGCTGAAACTTGTTGTCATGACAATCAATGAGTGAGACAAATTGGTAGATATCTCTACTATCTAGTCAGGTTATGTAACCTTTGAACTCTTACTATTATAAATAATCAATAGACTAAGGAAGCTCAGAAAGGTTTCCTGTGAAGACATTTAAATACAGTCGTCATTTTGTGATTAAGTAAAAAAAAAATACCAAGATCAGAACATACATATCAATTGTGGAGTTTGATAAGAAATTGCGCATCTAAAGAATTGCTGCTATCTATTCCACAAACACATATAACTTGAAGCCATAAATTTATGTGAAAGACAAATAAAGTCTGTGGACGAGAGTACATTGAACTGTTGTAATAGACTGTTTGCATGCGATATCACAATTTCTGATTCTCGAATTGATAGTGTTTGCACAATAATTGTTTGTGTGCAGAAGGTAGGACAGATTTAGAACGTTCCAAACGCACAGATTCGCAGTACAACTAACATCAATGTTCCAACTCGCAACAAAAATTCCCCTCAAATAAAACTGCCATCATCTTTCAACTAACTCATACCAGCCTCTGAAAATTTGTACACTATTCTGCCTAAAGCGAGAATAACGAGCATGCAAATTGTTTTTGGCTATGGCTTAATATTATCATATTTTTTGCAGGTATTTTGAAAATCTATGTCACGGTCATATTTACTCAGCGAAACAAACATGTACCAGCTCTATTTCTTTTCATTTTCCCTGATAAATCATCTTTTTCAACTGAAATCCATGTTTCTCAGCTGTCTTAAATAGTTCTTCTAGCTGCCCTTGTTTGTACCCACCCGTACTCACTCCGTTGTCTTTAAAAAAACTGTTTGAAATATGCCGCTGACTTCTTTCGGGGTTACATGTCTGTCGGTGCTCTATTGACTTTTTATATTTTTTTTCCTACCCTCGCCCGTTGCTAGGTAGATTATGTATGCGCAAATGAAATTACATTGCATCTGATGGTAATTAAGGAATCAGGAATTGGATTATCACAATATTTTTTGTGTATGAAACTTTCGACATAGCTCCAATATGATGGCCAATATCTGAACAATGTCATTTGAAGACCCAAATGTGCACTTAAATGACCTTATATTACAAACATGTTTGTTTGTTTGTTTGTTTCAATGGAGGTTACAGTCAATGATTAGTATCTCAAGATTTTTCATGAGGATGCAAAAACCAAAATTGTATTTGGTTTTTGTGCGTCTCAAAACAAATTCAGATGTCTATTTTATTTTGTCATCTTTTAGAATATAAAGATATATAATTTTCTTTGTAGTGTTGGGAATTATCATTTGTTTGTTTGTGTTCTTTCTAGTTATGAAAGCTTTGTGAAGTCAAGAGAAGGAAATTTTCCTCGTCAACAGTCAACAGAAGGCAAAAGAGCTACTCTGGCATAGTTACAAGAATTCAAAATGGATGCCAGTTAGAGAAGCAGTATGGGAGGAAATTTATTTGGCTGGAATGTTTTTTTCCAAAACTATTACAATCACTTTAACAAGAACACAATCCCTGCTATTAAAAAAATGCCTTGTTAGTAACATGTGCTGCTTAACAAGAGTACATTGTATGAATCAAGTAATGGATGAAATGGCCACCTGTAGGCCATTCTACATCAAAATTACAATTAAAAAGAGTTCTCTGGTTGCTAAGTCGGCATGCACATATACTGTGTGGATGGGTGGGGATGGAACGGTATCGCACATATGTAGTTTTTATGCATATCTTTTATATTGTTGTAATACTTTTTTATATCTTTGTTAAATGCCTTGGTTGTCTTTAAAAGGATGAATTATTTTCAAAATGTCTGTAAAATGCGAGAAACATATTTTTGTATTCATGCAAACTTAATGAATCAGGCCAATAACAATAGTGAGTATGTATGCTCTCCTAAATCTTTAAGAAATTACCATGCAATCTTATTACACTTGTGAAACACGGTACCATGGCCACGGTGATCATCAAATGAAAGTGGTATTTAATGTGCAACTTAAATGTATTCCTATAAAATGACTAATTTTCGCTGAGTTTAAATTTCACTGATTTAACATTTCAGGCATATTCTAATATTTTTTCTTGGAATTAATTTTCGCTATTCTCGCAACTTAAATGTGCAACTTAAATGTATTCCTATAAAATGACTAATTTTCGCTGGGTTTAAATTTCACTGATTTAACATTTCAGGCATATTCTAATATTTTTTCTTGAAATTAATTTTCGCTATTCTCGCTAAAGGAATGATTCAGTAAAAATAAAATCCAGCGAATATACCTTTTTTTCTATATTTTACATTAATCTTAAAAAAATACAAAATACCCAGAAAATCTTTTCAGCGAAAATTAATTACAGCTAAAATAAAGTATTTCACAGTACATGTACTTGATGTCTTCCGCTTTGACCTCCGATCTTTTATAAACTCTGACTGAAGGTGCTATAAATTTTTTTTGTTAAGGTATTATAGTCAAATGTTTTTGAGAGATGTATGGTATAAGTAAGTGCAATAATAGTTATTATTCTAATCCATTTAATCTATTTTTAATTCAAAAGGAAGTATTGAGCTTTAAGCAATGAATTTTGTTCTTTATTCCAGTAAAGTGTTTACAGATATCCCATTACAGGTAATTCCTTTTATGGTTTTTTTAGGTCTTGAAAAACAATTTAACAAGTCATTTTCTGGTCATTTTGCATACCAGTCAAAAATATGCCCGTCTCAGAATTTAAGGAAAAAATTAAATTTTCAAGAAAGAGCATGTTTTATGACAAATTTAAAATAAAGAAGCATTGACAATGGCATAGTCCCCTTGTTGTTTTTACCGATGGTTGATTCTCAATGTACAGTACAAATCACATACCTACCAAAGTGCTGCATGCATTATTTGTTTGTCAGTTTCAATCTACTTTGACTGGAAATGCTTAGACTGACAAGACAAAAATATGGCAAGTATAATCAGTTCTAAACAAAAACAAGTACTTGCATTACATATAGTCCCCATGAGTTCTTAAGTTTTAAAAAAAATATAAAGCTTGAACATGAATGTTCAGAGCAAAGGCTCAGAACGGCGTTCACTTAAACCACCAGTCGCCCATTTTAAATGTGAATCAAGGTTGTATAATGTACATACCAAGTCTGGACAAAATCTGTTCAAGCATGACGAAAATCTAGATCTGGAATTGCAAACAAGCAGCCTATCGGCTGAGATAGCTCCGCTGTTAGCATTGCACATTTCAATTAAAGAACTGTAGTACCTATATATGTAATATCAAAGCAATCACTTACAATTTTTAACAAGAAGTCGAAAATATCACTTTCAACCAAAAATGACAAAAATATTCACCAAAATTAGAGAATTGAAGACATCATCACAAAATGAACAAATCTGAGAGAGGTACACATGTAGTACCTATATATGCAATATCAAAGCAATTGGACTTGCGGTTTTTAACAAGAAGTCAAAAATATCATTTTTTACCAAAAATGACAAGAATATTCACCAAAATTAGAGAATTAAAGATATCACGAAATGAACAAACCTGAGAGAGGTCCACATGCAGTACCAATATATATAATATCAAAGCAATTGGACTTGCGGTTTTTAACAAGAAGTCGAAAATATCACTTTTTACCAAAAATGACAAAAATATTCACCAAAATTAGAGAATTAAAGATATCATCACGAAATGAACAAACCTGAGAGGTCCACATGTAGTACCAATATATATATATAATATCAAAGCAATTGGACTTGCGGTTTTTAACAAGAAGTTGAAAATATAACCTTTTACCAAAAATGACAAAAATATTCACCAAAATTAGAGAATTAAAGATATCATCACAAAATGAACAAACCTGAGAGAGGTCCACATGTAGTACCAATATATATAATATCAAAGCAATTGGACTACCCAAGGAACATATACACCAAGTATCAAAGCATTCGGGCTTGTAGTTTTCAAGAAGTCGAAAAAGTAAAACATTGACACGGACGACGACAATGCCGGACAATCACTCATATGATAAGCTCCGTTCGACAAAGTCGACAGCGGAGCTATAAAGCTTGGTGCAAGGTCTGATTTACAAATTATGTTGTTATCTGTAGAAATTAACTTAGCATATGAATGCAACTGTAGAAATTACATTCCGCGTATGAATACAAGTGTGGTTGGGTTACAATTAGCATAAAGACAAAGACCTGTGCATATAAACCACCAGAACAATGGTGACCAAAATAAATGAACATGATTGGTCAGAGTATTCGTTAAAAATGTTCACCAGTCTGATATGAGTTCCCTATGTCCAATGTATGTAACCAAGTTTGAACAAAATCCGTCCACAGATTTCCAAAAAAATGCTTGATTCTGATGAATTTTAGCCATCTTGATTTGAATCGCGGAACCAACTGATGTGCATATGTATCCAAAGAAACATTATGTATGTATACGTTTCAATGTAATCAGTCCAGGTATGATGGAGACAAAGGTCAAAACACAAATCCCAAAGCTGTTCATCTGCGTAAATGATTCCAGACACATTTACATTTACTGATTTTAGACAAAATGACCATCAATTTGACAAAGTTGCACAAGAGACTTGTCTGAAACATTCTTAACACAAGTAAAAACAAAATGACCACATAAGCCTGCAACCCAATATGCATAATCTTCATACAAAGTTTGAATGAAATGAATGTTTTCATCTCCAATAACAGCATCAGAAGTTAGCAAATTTTATGACCAAAACAGCCGCCAGTCAGTCATAAATGTATTGGATCAAAAGGTAACCAAAATTGACATAGATATGTAAGCCATCATACATAGTCTTTGTTTTGAAGCATTCCCCAAAAATGATAATTGGAAGTTAATAATCCTTGATATTTAAAAAATAATAATTACATTATTAATTATTTTGGGAAAGACAAAAAAATATCACTGATAACGAATTTCACAAATTGAGATTTATTTACGAGAGCTGAGGATGTAAAAAATACAAAATGGACCAAGAGAACAATATTCATAATTGTAGACTTTATGAAACTCACAAATTTTACAATAAATTAAATTTATTTACTCTTTCTTTGTTTTTTCTTCCTTTTTTTGTTCTGCCTTTTCTCATTTGGAATGTTTTTCATTTGTTTCACTGTCAGTTCATGATATTTTGTTTGTTTCTGTTTTTTCTTATCCTTGCCACCTATTTGTTGTACTTTTCTTTTTTTTGTTGGTGGCTCCAGTACCCTTTCAGCAGTGTTTACAGATTCACTCGCATCAAACGAGATTGAACCAGTTAAAACTGGTTCCTCTATACTCAAACTGGTTTGTTCCAGTTCAGTTTGATGAGCTCCAATGTTAACATTTCCAGTTTGACGTACATCATCGTTTTCCTCTTTGATTCCTGTAGATATCTCCTGCACATTTGTCTTCAGATTTGCAACTTTTTTTGCAATTTCTTCTTGATGTTTCAACCATGGTACTTCTAAAATGGGTGCTCGAGATGAAACAAACTCAACCAGTTCATCAAATATGGAACTCTCATCTTTGCTCAGTTTCTGCAAATTTCAAACAAAAGTAATTCAGATTCAGGTTCAATGTCTTCAGTATAACTGTAGGTGGGATTCTGTAAGCATTCTGCCACTTCACGACAGTTTGATGCATCAAAGAAAATAGCAAGCGTGTGTCAAATTCCTGGCACTGCACAAGGGAAACTATTATTGAAGGAATCCATTTCTCCCGAATTACATTGGAATATAAATTTCAGTTTACAGATTGAATGGCATGTCACTGATGGATTCAGACTTGCTACTGAGTTTTATCCTATATTTTGGGATATCCTTGATATATGAAGTCATTTGTGTCATAATATAGTACTTTCTTGCGAATTTAATTCACCATAGGCAACTAGCAGCGTTTATCATAATGAAAACTAAGCTGAGAAGATTCCAATAAATAAATTTTATCAATTTTTGAGTATTTCTACAAAAAAAGAACCGATTTCAACACCAAAATAATATGTTTAAAGCCACATGTATGTAACCAAGTTCTTGCCAGAAATGTGCTTTATTGAGCTCAAACAATGAATGTAAACAAAAATGGATGTAAACAAAAACACCAGCCTTTCTACCTTTAAGAAAAACAACAAACTCAGTCGTGTCTAAGCAGCAGTTCCCCACATTCATCCACAGGTGCTTGACAATAAACAAACCATCACACGCAAGTCTAACAGCTGACGTAATCAAAGTATGCCCCAGCACATTACATTTCAGAGAGAGAAAAAAAACATCTGCTTATAAGGATAATATGATTTTAAGGTAATTGATGATACCCTAATTATAACTCCATAGATGACAATGTTAGCGTTTGGGTGAATTCTGGCCACTAAAACACATGTTGGTCAGCTCAAGCTCTTACAAAATGAATGTAAACAAAACACACAGATTTGTCAGGCTCTCAATATTCTCAGAAACGCAGGCACACAGTTTTGAAGTGTCTTATCAAGAGTTGCCCAGATCCACAGGTCATGCACCGGTACTTGTCAATAAACAAAGCAACAAACACAAGACTAACAGCTGATGTCATTGAAGTACGCCCTCGTACATCGCATTTCAGATACGCGATGAAAGAAATTCCATTGGATAACAATCGTAAAATTTGAATGCTAGGAATGCTGATATGCTAATTAGTGGCATGAGACCTTAAAGACCTGAATGGATTTTAATATGGTGCAAGTATCATGCCCTCAGTGGCCAGTAATCAGTTGTCTGCAAGTACGCCCTCATTGGCCAGCAATCAGTTATTGGTAAGTACGCCCTCATTAGCAAATAATGCGAAAAGGAGTATTAACAATTTCTGTCTTTAAATTCAGTTTTATGCTAAATTAGCAGCTTCTGAAATTAAAACCCAAAAAACTATTAATCCTTTGGCATAATTACATATTTATACTACAAAGGGATGTCAAAAAAATGCATATCGTCCCAAGAATTCGGCAAAACTGCATGACAGACTGCCTTTTATAAACTAGGAATACAAGTGAAATTTTAACATACAAGTTTTCAAATTAAAATCGTAAGCTATGAATATAAAGGTGGATTCACCATGTCCTATATTAGGCTTGCTCTATGAAATCATATAATAATCTTACAATAAATTTTTATTTTATTAATTACACTACCTTGAATCCAATGGCCAATAACGATGTAAAACCAAATATTGGCGAAAGTATCTCACTTAGTCTGGTTAAACACACAGCTGATGTATTACGAGACACACATAAAGGTATCAGATGCGCTGTCAACATTACAGGTTTGGCGGATTTACATACAATAGCCAGTCTTATCAGATCACGTTCCAAGCCTTTGGTGACTTCATTGATACCAAGTGCTAACTGGGATCTGAAATTATACAATTAACATAAAATGAAATATCAATTGAAATCGAAAATTATCGTATGACTGTGACATTTTTGGGACTACTATTGCATGCGTCAGAATACATACTTTTGTAGTGGTGTTATATGTCACCTGGTCACCCGAGTGTATTGATATGTAAAAAGTAGTGCCGTGGGTGTAACTGAAAATGGCGGAATAAACAAGAAGTTAAATTTGAAAGCTCTCTGGTGTCTTTTAATGTTTCGTGTGTTCCTGAGTCAACACATCACAATGATACATGGTTCAGAATTGTGGAATAGTCAAAACACAAACTGATTTAATATTTGTAGTGTATAATAATGATATTTGAGACATAAGAATTAGAAATAGGGAATATTTAAAATGGGAAATAAAAGAAAAGCCTTTCAAACAAGAAGACTGTCAGCAACAGCTCTGCACAATTTTGAAAACAATGTGATCCACATTATTTAAAATGATAATACTCTAGACATGTTAAAAAAAAAAGGAATAAATTTACTTGTGATTTATCACAAAGCATCTATGTACCAAGTTTAGTTTAAATCTGAAGTGGTCCTCGAGATGTCAAAAAGTTGACTAATTTATGCAAATACCTTTTGAGCAGCTAAAAATTGACTAAATTATGTAAATGAGGTAATCAATATGCACATATTTCAATCCTAAACTATTATCATGGATGTGGAGCATTCCAGACCACCAATATACCAAGTTTCATTTAAACATAATCAGACATTCTTGAAATGCCTGTGGGTAAGCTATCATATGCAAGTCATGTGCAAGCAATCCTAGTTATATGCAAATTATATGTAGATAATATGTAAATTCATTGTTACTTATTACTCGCAACCTATCACAGACGCGCATACCATTTCAACTCGCACCTCAAATTTGATGAGTTTACTGTAGTTTCTTCTGGTTTTTCAGACACTTCCAGTGCTTTCATCTTTGCAGTCTTTTTTCTGTTTTTAGACTTTCCCTTCTTCAACTGATCTTTTAAAGGCTGAAAAATACTGCAACAAAAGTTTGTGTTGATATTTGTTTCCCTCTCTTAAAGAATACAGTGACGACACAGGCAGATATATATATAGTGCCCTAAAGCGGTGATGTAGTAAAAGCCTTGTCTTTTTCCAAACCGAATATCTCTCCATTAGAGTAGAACGTATCTAGAATCCTATTACTCGGAACTGAAGAGAGAATTAGTTCAACAAGTCTGAGAACACCATACAGTCCTTGTTATCTACTAATAATATAAATCGATAATATGCTAATATGTAATTTTGTTTGTTCATTTATTGCATTTTTGAATGACTGTGTTTTGCCAATCAGCACAAAATATATCTCAAGAGTTGAATTATATTATTTTGGAAACAACAAATGACAAACAATTATTAATAAAACAGTCACAAATGCTAGATTTGTTCGGTCCTGATATCCTGATATCAAAATTGGAAATGAAGAACATTTCATCATGGAATGTCTTAGGTGCCAAACGAAAGAACAAAAGTTATTTAAAGTGGGAGGGTCGTCACCTGCATACGCGCAGGAATTGAGACCCAAGAGACGATAACACACACTAAAAACGCAAAGGCTCATGGGTATACATTTCCACTCCAGTGATTTTATCACGCTTCACTGCTACTAATCATTGCAACAGCTGTGGGTATTCAAAAAGTATGTATAACCAAAATGTGTGACATAACACCTTTTTTGAAGATTTGTTTGTTTGGAGTGGCATTTTAATGATGCAGATTATCGTTGTCATTTCAAAATGGCGACAGGCATGGGTGGGGTGCTATAATAATAAGCAGCATCAGAAATTATATGAATGAGTTTTGAACATGACATTTTTTAAAAACAAATCTCGAAATGTTAAAGCGGGAGGGTCGTCACCTGCACATGCGCAGAAATTGAGTCCCAAGCGACGACAACAACACGTGCTAAAAACGCAAAGGCTCATGGGTAGACGCTTGTTTGTAAACAATGACACGCTATGGCCATCTGACGCATGCACAGGTGACGACTTAATTATATCAATATTTCAGAAGAATTAGAAAGTGATGTCCAGATATTTAAATATATTATGAGTTCAAGAGAAGACGTACTAATAAGACAAGTTGGTGAATACTTATACAAAATATTTGAAATCAGAAAATAACAATAACTGACATTTTACTTTATAGTTTTATGTGTATTGTACTATATTACTAACATTTTATTTATCATTATTATTATTATTATTATTATTATTATTATTATTATTATTACTACATAAATAAACCTCACCCCGGACCTCATTCCACGCTTTTTCCGGTTATGTGCTTAAGACCTGATTCCAGGCCGGTGCAATTCAATACCCACCTTTTTATTTCGTCTAATATACGTACTTGCTCTCCTTGGTGTAGTCTTGGCCTGGTGAAATAAAAACAAACAAACAAATTTGAACTTCGTTATATGCTACGCAAAACTCAACTTCACCTTCAATCTAAATTTGAGCCCGGTGACATTACATAATTTCGTAGTTACATGGTGCAACATTCACTCTTACCATTGTAGTATTCCATAGGGAGAGTCCATGGAATTTTTCACAGTGAAATTGTCTTTTTTGGTCGCCATCACACCATAAATTCAGTAAAATGAACATATAAACACAAATCTGGGAAACAACGTGCATGTTTGACCTCTAACCTTAGTCACCTGACTTGAATGTCATTTCCCATCAGGCTTTTAATTCTTGCCGCGCTTTTTATTTTTCTTTGGGTCAAGGTTCGACGGCTGGAAGAAAACAATATTGGTTGTTTTGTTTTGATGCTTCACTTCAAATATTGAATATATGTAACGATGCCCAAGATACCGAAGGCAAAAATCAAACCACCAGTCGAAAAGGACAAAAGCCAATGGGTGCTCATTACACCAGGTATATTACAATTTGAAACTTTATTTTATGATGTCATCGTCATTTTTAATTTCGATCATGGACTTGGAATGGATGATCGATGTGTGATTTTATTGAGAATTCTGTAGACGTGTTGTCCTTAAATTAGATGAACAAATTACGAGCCAACTGTTTATGTCGAAAGAGGGTCAGAAGTCAGATATCTTAAAGTTAAAGTTCCTGGTGTATTTCAGTGATACATGTAACAGTTGAATGTTCATAATATAGCACTGTACGTGATATAAATTTTCTTCGTATTTTACAAAACATTTTTCAGTTTTACTACAGCTTGTAGTAACAAATTTCCATGATTACATCAGGATACCTATAATACGGGGTGGACCATTAGCAACTCTGAGGGGGGAGGGTCAGAAAAACTGTACAAAATGACTTTTCCTTTTTTTTGTTTCCATGATAAAATTGCTGTAATTTTTTTTTTCAGTGTATGGAATATTTTTTCTCTAGATTTAGATTTTTAATATCTGTTATTGATCCCTGCAGAATTTTTTCCAGGGTTTTTGTCTTGTACAAATAATTTATTCACAACTCTACCCCCCCCCCTCCACCACCACCACGATAGTTTCTAATGGTCATGTTTAACTTTAATACTGCTCAAATGGACTAAGTGTTCAAAACGTCATAAAAATTTTCAAAATGCCACCGATGGTGCGCGTCGCACAATCTTTTTTGCTAGCTGTCAAACAACTTGTCAATTCAAAACATCAATGCGCTAAAGTGAAAAGGTTGACGCACGAAAAAAATAAAAGTTAACCCACCAACCGTATTTTCTCTAAACTACGCCCACTGACAAGAAGTCAAACAAAAAGAAAACTGCTGGAGGTTATTCGTTCTGAACGTCTCTAGAAAAAATCAACTTCAATGGTGGCTAGAAAATATTGACCACGAGCTAGTGAAGTATGTTGCTGCTCTGCGAAGTTCTGGATATACCAGTTTACTTGCAATAACACAAATAACGACAGAAGATATTCCGGAATTTGAGCAGTATTACCTTTTTAATGATTCACATGTGATGCAATACTGTAGAATACTTTATTTTCGCTTGGAATTTATTTTCGCTATTTGCGCTGAAGGGATGTTTCCGTGAAAATAAAATCCAGCGAATATACTTTTTTTCCTATACTTCACATTAAACTCCTCAAAAATCAGTGAAAATAAATTCCACACAAAACGCCCAAAAAGCCTTTTCAGTGAAAATTAATTCCAGCTAAAATAAAGTATTCCACAGTATCATAAAAAAAAATTGTTTTCTTATTTTTTTGTAGTATACTACCGGACTGCTATTCTAACAATTGGGGGGGGGGGATTGAAACCAATTTTATTTAATTGATTTTCTCTCTGATTGACCACATCTCAGCTTAAAGAGACAATGCATATGACTTCAAATCATTCTATTTAATAATTTATCTTGTTAGGAACTTTTTAGTGTGATTTGTCATAAAAATGTTGTTATGGCACTAAATATAGCAGAAGTGCCCCTGTTAATTTTACTTTAGGCTTAGCTAATACTTAGCGATCTATTGAAAGTAAGTCTCCAAGACTCGTTGGATTCGTTTACTAAAAGTATATCTGCAGTTGAGTGACCATTGTGCGGTTCATCCAGGCCAAATAGAACTCTAATACTGCAGCACAAATTATATGATGTTATAAACAGTTTATGGTCAGAGTGAGTGAGTGTTTTCACTAGTAGGAATCATGTTGGAATTGAACTTGAATCACGCTTTTCTTTTCAAGAATCCAGTGTCAGTGAAGTCAAACCAAATGATGAAGAACCATGTTTTGTAAAATTACGTCATCCCAAAACAGGTTTGTTTATATTTCATTTCTGTATGAAGACCTTATGTAAACTTGTTGATTTCACAAACAAATGTTGTTATTGACAAATACATGCGTACTGTTGACCATGGAACTCAAATGCAGTATAGAATCCTAATTCACTTACAAACCCATTGCAAATGGTCAAAGAGTGATGGCGTTTAAGCTTGCTGATATCCCTTTTCATGGCATTTAAACTCCACCACCGGTGTAACATATTCACACCTGCGTAGGCTACACTGGCAAAAAAAAAAACAACTGTATTGTAGAGCTGTATGCTGCCTGTAACATAAGGAGTGAAATATGTGCCTTCTGTAACAACCCTGCGGGTTTATGAAATGTAACATCTAATAACGTATCACCATTTGCTATTTACAGAACAAGGTGCAATGTTTATGTTGACAAACAACAACACAGAAATCCTTGAGGTTTTGCGATTTGATGATCAGTACAGATCATGGTTTATAGGAGAAACAGTTCAGCAAGGTGAGACCCAGCAATCCCTTCATGTTAAATTGGTCCTGAATTTTTGAGGTTGTGCTATGATGACATAATCTACTGTAAAATACTTTATTTTAGCTGGAATCAATTTTTGCTGAAAAGACCTTTTGGGTGTTTTGTATGGAATTTATTTTCACTGATTTTTGACAAGTTGAATGTAAAATATAGAGAAAAAAGTATATTTGCTGGATTTTGTTTTCACTGAATCATTCTTTCAGCGAAAATAGCGAAAATTAATTCCAAGCCAAAATAAGTATTTTACAGTAACTGGTACTGCCAGTATTTACATGAGTGTTATGTCATACATTAGTATTACTTCATTGAGGAAAGCCGTTATACAAGTGTAAATAGATTATAGTGTACCGAAACATGAACTTGTCAAGTTAATTTAATTTAAAACCATGCATTTATTCTAAATACTGAGTGAATATGATTTAATATGCAAATTTGAATGTTATTTTGCAGATTTGTAACCTAAATCTGCTGACTAATATGTTAGAATGTGAATCCTTATTTAATGTGTCAAGCGTTTCATAAGATAATTGTTTTATCATAGATGGAAGTATGTTCATGTCTACTGCTATTGATCCACTGTTTTTATTGCTACCGTACATCGTTAAAGCTGATAAGGTGAGTATTGATATTATAGCAAAATTCATTACGTTCTGGTTGGCTTGTTCTGAGCTAAGGGCCCTGTCCTTCTCGGACGGTTGTGTTGCCTTTATGGAAAATCAAGCTGTGCTAAAGACATGAATCAGTTTTCTCGCCAAGAACAAAATCCTAGGGCATGATCCACAGCCGATCATCATCCCCCGTTTGGCCAATATTGTTGGCCCGGAGGATTAGGAGGAGTTGCTTTTATGCCCGGTTCGAGCTTTGAGTTGCTATGAGAGACATACTAGGAATTTGAAGCAGGGCAGCAAGCACATGTTATGCATGTGTTATGGCCATGGTAAGCAGGCAGACTGGCTTCCCCGACTCCCCATTTCTAGGTGGATCACTTCGACAGTGTTTGAAATTTATGACCTATTGGCGTCCTCAGCACGTGATCTACAGAGACACCAAGTACGAGCGCATGAGGTCCGTGCGATCGCTAACTCATCAGCTCTTGCGTCAGGTGCCGCCCTTGAACACATACTTATGGCAGCTTCTGGAGAACGCAAAACGTCTTTATCAATTATTACTTATAAGACACGTAATCCATTGAGGAAGTTCTTTTTAGGGTGGGTCCCGCCGTAGCGGGTTAGACTTGGTTTGTTGACCCATCCTGGATGACCACAGGCATCCCTGCGTATAGGCGATGGAGCAGTCTTGGCTACATATTTGTGCGGAGAAGTTTCTCCCGTCAGTACTCCTTGGACATTTCCAGGTCTCGCTTTCAGCCTATGCTCTCATGCAGAACTGTTTTTGCCTCTTCTTTTTGGAATGCTAGTTACTTATTTCGAGTACTCCTTTATTTTCTGTTTTGCTTGGAAACACACCACCCCTCGGCATCTGACTGACTGACAGTTTAAAATAGTCATTTTGACTGACCAGAGTCAATGGTGGGTAATTGAACGTACCGAATTTAGGCAGAAGGTTTTTAACCCACCTATTCACCTAGTTCATACCCACTATAGACTCCAGGTCCTTCCACCCCCCAACCCCCCATTTTCTACAGCGATTGGCTTTAGTCCTCGTATACGAAGAAAACAGGGGAGTGAATATAAGGCAAGATGGCGCTGACCTCTTGACCTTTGTCACATGTTACCTTACCTGGAAGAAAATCTATGAGGTCATGGGGCTTCCCTTGACCCAGATTTCTCTTTCCGTCATTGGCTGAATCGCTGATTAATGCCTACAGTTCTAAATATTCATTATTGCCCTCTATCAAATATGTATATTTCAGTATGTGCATCAGTTGAGAATGCATGCTTTACAGCCTTGTTTTGTCCAAATTTAGAAACAATGAAAGAAAAATTCAGTTTTCATGAATAATCATGAATTTAATAATGACAATTTCAGAATAAAAATTAAAAAAAATCTATTCAATTGGAATTTGAATTTGTATTGATAACAAAAATATATAACATTTATTGATTTCAGAGTAGTATGTTTATGACATTGGATCAGATTGTTACAGATGAAGATTACCCACAATGCATCAAATTACTCAGCTGTAGTGGTATTTCAGACTTGTGTCATATCACTGATAGCAAAGGTAGAAGAACTGAGTCAATTACTTATTAAAATAAACATCCTTCCAAATGTTGCTTTATTATTACATGCACTCTCATCATCTACAATGAATTTCTAATAACAAATACAGTGTGTGTGTGTGTGTATATGTCTCTCTGCAGATCTATTTAGTTTTTTTTGCTCAAATCTTTATCAAAATTAATTAACTACTTTACTTATATGCATAATAAGTTTATGAGTTTCAAGGTACATTTCACAATTATGTATCAATAAATTGTGTCTGTTGTTTAAATTGTCCAGATTTTTTGGAATATTTCTCATATTTGTTGGTTTTGATTGATACTTTATTAACAGGGAATGAAGACTTCAAAGCCTACAGATTGAACAAAGATAAGCTGATGGAATGGTTAAAACTGAAAACTGAGAGACTAGCAGACTGCCTGGAGAAGCACAGTATCCATGCAGTGGGTGTGAAAGCAGAGACATTTGTACGAAGTAGTAAGGATAATAGTGTTACTAGAGGTAATGATTAGTTAACATTTGTATGGAGTAGTAAATATAATAGTGTGACTAGAGGTAATGATTAGTTAACATTGGTATGGAGTAGTAAAGATAATAGTGTTACTAGAGGTAATGAATAGTTAACATTTGTATGGAGTAGTAAATATAATAGTGTTACTAGAGGTAAAGATTAGTTAATATTTGTATGGAGTAGTAAATATAATAGTGTTACTAGAGGTAATGATTAGTTAACATTTGTATGGAGTAGTAAAGATAATAGTGTGACTAGAGGTAATGATTAGTTAACATTTGTATGGAGTTGTAAAGATAATAGTGTTACTAGAGGTAAAGATTAGTTAACATTGGTATGAAGTAGTAAGGATAATAGTGTTACTAGAGGTAAAGATTAGTTAACATTGGTATGAAGTAGTAAGGATAATAGTGTTACTAGAGGTAAAGATTAGTTAACATTGGTACGAGGTAGTAAAGATAATAGTGTTACTAGAGGTAATGATTAGTTAACATTGGTATGAAGTAGTAAGGATAATAGTGTTACTAGAGGTAAAGATTAGTTAACATTGGTATGAAGTAGTAAGGATAATAGTGTTACTAGAGGTAAAGATTAGTTAACATTGGTATGAAGTAGTAAGGATAATAGTGTTACTAGAGGTAAAGATTAGTTAACATTGGTACGAGGTAGTAAAGATAATAGTGTTACTAGAGGTAAAGATTAGTTAATATTTGTATGGAGTAGTAAAGATAATAGTGTTACTAGAGGTAAAGATTAGTTAACATTGGTACGAAGTAGTAAGGATAATAGTGTTACTAGAGGTAAAGATTAGTTAACATTGGTACGAAGTAGTAAGGATAATAGTGTTACTAGAGGTAAAGATTAGTTAACATTGGTATGAAGTAGTAAGGATAATAGTGTTACTAGAGGTAAAGATTAGTTAACATTGGTATGGAGTAGTAAAGATAATTGTGTGACTAGAGGTAATGAATAGTTAACATTTGTATGAAGTAGTAAAGATAATTGTGTGACTAGAGTTAATGAATAGTTAACATTGGTATGGAGTAGTAAAGATAATAGTGTGACTAGAGGTAATGGCAAGTTAACTTTTGTATGAAGTAGTAAAGATAATTGTGTGACTAGAGTTAATGACTAGTTAACATTGGTATGGAGTAGTAAGATAATAGTGTGCCTAGAGTTAATGACGAGTTAACATTTGTATGAAGTAGTAAAGATAATAGTGTGACTAGAGGTAATGGCAAGTTAACTTTTGTATGAAGTAGTAAAGATAATTGTGTGACTAGAGTTAATGACTAGTTAACATTGGTATGGAGTAGTAAAGATAATTGTGTGACTAGAGGTAATGAATAGTTAACATTGGTATGGAGTAGTAAAGATAATAGTGTGACTAGAGGTAATGGCAAGTTAACTTTTGTTTGAAGTAGTAAAGATAATAGTGTGACTAGAGGTAATGGCAAGTTAACTTTTGTATG